GGAAAATTTCTTTGCTAAACAAAATTGAATTGTATTCTGACTGACGCCGGGCCCCAAGGCCCTGTTTTGTTTGGGTTCTTTTTATTTTTCGGCAACCAAATGAAATGGACGCATTTCAAACGGAATTTTTAAACAGCTCTTTAAGTCAGCAGGTTGTAATTTCCATGGAAAGCAGTTAAATTTTTATTCAAGTTTACGTTTTACTGAATCAACCCATTTAATTGTATTCAAGGCATAAAAACTTCAAAATCAATTTTAAATATTTTTAAAAAGTTCGCACAGATCCCAACAATACAATAAAATGGTAACTCGATATAAACAAACTTTTACGCTCACACAAAAAGAAAATGCCATATAGGGAAAAAAGAGGAAAGGACTTGAAATGTTTACAAATTTTCATGGGCCAACCAGAGAATCACCGCAGGCATCGTAAAAATGAACATTTGAAGAGCCGAAAGATGTTGAAATGTGCAAACATAAAACTGCCACCAATTGATTGAGATGTAATCAAACAGGCGACCCAAACAAAAAGCAGAGGGAAGAGCATTTTTTTCTGAAATTCGACAAATGTGTAAAGGCATAAAAATCATTGCCCGAACGGAAAAGGAACGAAAAATCAAATTACGCATACGCAGTGCAGACCAAAAGGGAATGCCCATGCTGGCTTTTTGCGACTCAAACCTCGTTTCGTTATGGAAATTCGCCGGCAAAGCATATGGGGCAACTTACTAATGCTAACTGGGGTTAAATGTGACTGCCTTTGGGCCACATACATCAACGCAAACATAAATTACTCGCCATATATGCGCATGACTAATTTGCGACTCATGTCTGGCCTTTGATGCTGCCGCCCGCAAAGTTTTAGCATTCATATTTTATTAGCCACAAGTCAGTAAGTTTGTGCTCTAAACAATTTATTAATCAAATGGTCCAGCAAACTATGCTGTGGCCCAAAAAAGCGGGCCAAGGAATCGTCACTAGAAGCGAATCGGAATCTGAAACCGAAACCAAAACCAGAAAGTCCAGTCATCTCCGACTCGTGTGTATATATAATTTATGTGCCCTGTATGTGTGACAAATTGTGTGCCGGAGGCCAAGTTTCGCATTTTGTTGTTTGTCTTTGTGCTCTCGCAGGGATATTGCTCTCGAATAGAGTTGTCACTTCTCAGGAAGTAAAAAAGGCTAAAAATTAGACAACATTTCATCGAAAAGCAATTGGGAACTACAGCCGAAAAAAATTCCAGCGCTATATATTTTGTAGATTATCACTTTATCCGAGAAAGATGGATATATACAGCTTTGATCGGGGATAACTTTTTAACGAATGGTCCGGCTTGAAAAATTTCTTCTACATTTCGGTAGGTATTGATAAGCACAAAAAAACTGCATTTTTACTTTTCCGAAACCTTTTAAAATAGTTTAAGGCGATGGTGAGCGTGGCGCTCTGCTGAAACAAACAAAGCCAAAGAATATGTGTGGGAATTGCCAACTTTCTAGCTTTTGTAGTTTTCGAGATCTCAGCGCTCATACGGACAGGCAGAAGGACATACGGACATGGCTAGATGGACTTGGCTAGTGACCCTGATCAAGAATATATATACCTACTTTATAGGGTCGAAAATGCTTCCTTTTAGCTGTTATATTCTTTTGCATGAATACAATATACTCTTTACTCTATGAGTAACTGGTATAATTAGAATTAATTTTCTTAGGATTCATAAAAAATCTAATATATAAATTTTCCTTCAAATGCTTTTTTGTACCCGGTAAATCTAAAAATACTAAACAAAAAAATTATTGATTAAGAAATAATCAAATCTTTTTGATTTACTAGAATTTAAATTTCTTCAAAAATTAAGAACTATCCAAAAATTATGAACTAAAAAATTGCGAAGATTTTTCTATAATTTTCCAACTGGCTAAAAGAGCTACAACTACAACACTGCTCCCGAGAAAACAGTTCGAGCATGGCGTCTGCTGTCCTTTTCCCCTGCCCTCTCTCTCTCCTCTCTTTCTCATCCGGCCAACTGCTCGTCATCTTGTCTGGATCCCCCGCAAAAGTGTTACAAATTTATGACATTTTCTTTTTGCATTCGTCGACCCTTTAAAGCAGCTCGCACCCAATGGCTAAATCCAAAGCCAAACAGCTTCGAAAAAGGTCAACAGAATGCTCGAGGTTAGAGACGCTGGCCGAAAAAAAAAAACGAAAAAAAGGAAGTAGTAAAAATGTTGTTTTCTTCTTCTTTTTACGGTTTCGGGTTGGACATTTACAAAAAAAAATCCCAAAAAAAAGGTGGAGAGAGTGGAAAACTGTAATGGGAGGGAACGAAACCAAGACACTAATGTCGCTCATCTTTTATTAATATTTCTTTGAGATTTTTATGCTGCTGTTTTCTTGCCGCAGGGTGAGCAGAATCTTCGGGTCTAGCAGACAGTTGAATGAACTACTAGAAAAAATGTCCCCTAAAATAGAACAAATAAGCAAATATCATATTTCAAGAACTTCCCAACTTGTAAATGAATCTAATACACACACGTAAATTCTTTTCTTTCGCTTTCTCCTCGCACTTTAGTGTGCCGAAAATCAATAAGCTTTGTATTTCCCCTTCAAGTGACATAAAGCATTCGCCAAACCGGAGGAAAATAAACCCTCTGGCACTTGATTTGTTACATAAGGCGTGTTGCTTACTTTTACTGTCATACTTTCTTTTATGCGGGAAATTTCTCCACAGGAATTTCTCTTCAAGTCATTTCTGCGCTGACTTCCTCACTTTCATCCTGCCCGCCCTGAAAGTGATTTGGCGGAAATTGTTTTTTAATGTGGCAGACATTCTTAAACTATTTAACCTGAAGTGGCAGAGTCACTCTCACGGAGACAGAAAAAAATGTCCACCATTTATCAATGGATAATCAATAGACCTTAAACCATTTTTCCCTTTTTGGGTTCGGTGTGTGCCTGGGGGTAAATTTTATAGTTTGCCTGACAGAAATTCAGGGCTGCGTACCCAAAATAGCTGCGTGGCATGCGATAAAGCTCAGGTACATATATATTTTCAGGAGAGGAATACGCTCTTCCCAGGAGTTTTCCCATGTCCGCACATTTGGCTAAACATCCGCTGCAGCATTTTGACATTGCGGATTACAATAAAAGCGTTTTTATTCGTTTGCATGACTGGCAGACGAGCCGAGAGTGACTGACAGATAGGTAAAAGCAGAAAGAGGCCGGTATGTATGGTCCCTGACATTCATTAGCAATCGGCACGATGTCGTTACATGTCAACCGCCCGTTTAACCCCAGTATTGATTTTGCCGCCAAAGTCATTACTATTTGTTTTGGCAAGTGCAATTTGCTAGGCTTCGAAAATAGCATTATTCGTTACATCCTTGGCAAAAATTCAAGCTAAGCTCCGCAATTTCAGGCAAGCCCAGCCGGAGGCAATTTCATTTTAAATTTAATTTGCCCAAGTGAAAATTATTAATTTGTGCACATGGCCCGGGTGCGTATAAAATCCTTTGCATTTTGCACAGCCATAAACTTGGGCAAATAACTTAGTAATCATCGTCAGCAGCACTTGCAGGATCATCAGCATTTTGCCAGGGCATTATAATTACATAAAGATGCGCCTTTTGTGGCTGTGCATGTGCCTCTGCTCTTTACACAGGAATAAAAATATAATAAAAAAACAGAACTCGGCAGTGAAAAGGCGCAGACAGCTTACCTTTTTCCCTCTGTTTATGACAGCTCTCACTCAGCACACACCGAGTGTATATATACCCGCATATAAACGGGGAAAACACTTGCAAGTTTTACGATTTTCAAATGATGTACGTACAAATTCATAGAATTTTATATTTAACAGCGCCCAAAAGCAGTGTGTGTTACTGGTTTTTAGTTGCTTAGCCGGCTTTTCCCGGGAAACTGTGTCTGTGTCCGTGGCAGGCAGTCATTTTTCATTATTTGCCGCGCAGTTTTCCGCACATTCGCATTAATCAAACATTGCAAACGGGAAAACTTGCAAACAAACAGTGGAAATATATGGATGTTATGTTGATACGGTTGTTTTTTGCTTAGAGGGAAATTAAAAACTGTTGCTCATTTGTTGCTCGTGTGTTTTTGGAAAGGACATTATTAGAAAAATATTAGAAACGTATTTCCCGATTATTCGGCCATCAACCAACATGACAAGCTCATTATAATCGAATGCCCCGAAAAACTTTTTAATTTAGTTAGGAAAGAAAATAATACACAAAGTAAAAGCCATCATCATCATCATCGGCAGAAGACTTTTCCAGCTGGCTGCAAATGTATTCGTGTAGGAAAAACTTTTTCCTGCCTACTTTTCCGCACATTCACTGGCCCACTAAATGCAAATTTGTATAATTTGATTTTGTTACATTTCCCAGGAACCACGGAATACGCTACCTTTTTGTTCTGCTTTCATTTCCCCAAAGAAATTTCATTATTTTTCTTTATAGCCGCAAAATTAATCAAGTAAAAACAGAGAGAGGGCGAAGAATGGATTTTAGAAACATTTCTTTCTTAAATGGCATATTTCCATTTTGCAACGAAATTCATGCGGAGCAGCCGGCATTTATGGAATTTTATGTTCCATTTTATGGGGCTATCAAAAAGTGTGTTCAATTTCATAAATTGAAGAATAATTGCGACGAAAGTGGATCAGGGGAGCAAAGGCGGGCGAAAAATCTTTACTGATTATTGACACTAATTGGTCGTTGGGTTGAAGAGCCAAGAAACTCAATTTAGCTACTAATTAAACGCGCTGAGTTTATCGAGCTAAAAAATGCGTGAGATTAGAACTCAAATTGCAAAAAAAGAAAATGCCAAACAAATTTACCAGAAAAATGAGAAAAGTAAAAAGCAATAAGGCGATTAAGAGCTTATTAAGACTTAATATAATTATTTGATAAATGCTAATCATATTGAATTAAGGGTATGAAATCAATAATATCAAATTAATTGCTGGCCTCTTACCACAATATTTCTATTTATTTCATATCCGAACATTTACCTTTGCTATAGTTACGAGGTCCTGTAAGAAAAGAAAAACACTCATTAATAAACTTTTCCAGGCCAAGTTCGCTTATATTTTAATTAGCCCGAGAGCTTTACAAGCAGGGAATTTCTATATGTGCACAAAGTGGGCTCTCTTGGCTAATGCTCAAGTGTCGTTTAAGGGATCTAGGAATTATAACATGTATATTCTAAGGCCAATGAGAGCGGTTTCACCTTGACAGCGCCTCATACTCAATGGCAAATGTCAACCTTTTCAGCTGCGTAACCTTCGGTAAACACACCTGCACATAAAATGCCCAGGGGAAAGAGCCATTGAGTGAGTGGGAAATTTATAAAAGAAACATTAATTTCAATGACATACGAGCGATAGAAATTGTTTGCTAATGCTAGTAGGGATTCTATTTAAACTAGATAGGAGGATAACAGAGTGTTTTATATTAAGCTAAGGAAAATAAAATAATGAATATTTACATTTAAATAAAATGAATTTGAATGAAATAGAACGATATGATTTTGTGCTGCTTTATATATACTTTTAAATGTTTAAGTTCCGTTATTAAAAATGAATGGCAAAAAAAAATTTTAGCCGTTTTATTTTAAAATCCTGGCATGTGTACAAAAACCCAGCCATTTATCATGCGCAAAAGGCTGAATTATCCCATTGTGGGCGTGACTCTCTTTTGGCATGGCCGCCAGAGGGCGTTCCGGTATAAATGGCCTGCACTGAAACTAAAACCCGACTAAAGCACGCGGTCCGAATGGCATGACAACGACATTGACGCGTCGATTGTGAGCCCTTTGCCGTGGCGGCCAAAGGACGGATTTAAAAGCCAACTAGATGAAGGCTAAAACCGGGTGTGGCTGGCTGTTAAGATTTATGATGACATCTCTGGCTAAGGTCAGAGCCAACTGACAAAATGCAATTGGGTTTTAATGCAACTGCAAGTGCAGCAAGTATTCCATTAAAATTATATTAGGCATCAAAATGCTGCCGCTACACAAACTATCGTTAAGCGGAAAGGAGGATGGGAGTTTAATTTTTATTGGACGCTGCCCTGCGCTCGGCAAATTCAATTAGTTAGCCACCCTGCTGTGCTAGGGATTCCGGGCCAAGGGCTCGAGGAGAGAATCGAGCCAAGCTGCCGAGAGTTAATCAGTTTTGCTAACTTCATTTGAGCAACTAACGGCAGGAAACTTTTGTGCAAGGTGGGTGGCTTCCTCCTGATGAAGTTGACTTAAAACTCACTCCCTGCCAGCCAATTACACGCACTGCAATCCTTTACAAAACTTTTCCTCCACTACACGTACTTATTTGAGTGTTTGCTGGATAGTGCTGCAAAAGTGAGATTGGTTACAAAAGCAAAATTGAGCATTTAAAATCCCCAAAAAACTGGGCTTCTAAACAATTCGATTTCTACCTAAGTTCTTAAAACATGTTAAAATAAATTCAGTGTTAAGAAAGTAACTTATATATTCTGCCAAAAAGATTTTTCTGCAATAAGGTCTAAATAATGTGGGGTAATGTTAACAAATAATAAAATATGTAAAATATGCACCAGTGTTTACCAATTAAATATTTTCAAAAAAAATCATAAATTTGCATTCGAGCTTATCAAAATTGATAAAACAATATCAAATTGATCATCCCTTAAGTTCGACCTGGCTGCTAAACTGCTAAATTGGCAACACAGTCGCAATCACTCCTGAGGCAGGCTTAAAGTTGGCTAGACAAATGTTGCACTTGCATATCCTGCCCCGTCCTAGAGGAGATTTATGGCCAGGACAAAAGAGGAATTAAAAGGCCAACTCTGTAGTACACATTAACCCACATTTCGATGGGGATTTATGGCTAGCCAAATACGTTTGGAAATAAAGCCGAGTGAAACGCATGTTCGATTAGATGTCACAGATATGCACTCATAACTTATTCAGAATGCCATCCGATTAACAAGCACATAAATGTCGGAGTTCAAATATTTAACTGTTGCAAATTTGATCTATGACTGGGTTTTGTCAATTGGATGTGTTTTCGATGGCGAATTCCGAATCAACATTGAGCAGGTGCTGAAATTTTTATGAGCCTCGTTTTTGGGTCACTTACTGGCCGTCAATCAAATGCGGGTACTTGACCCCCAATCAATTTGCCCATAAATCAGGACTCCCTGCAAAGTCTAAACAATTACAAAACAATTAAATTGTCACACCGAACACTGTGAAGAGCAAACTCAGTGAAGGTTAGTGGTGAGGGAAAAAGTGTGGGAGTAGGAAAAACGCTATCTGTTTGGCTCCTTTCCACTGGCGCTTTTCCTTTTTCCTCTTGGACATCCGACTGCCGCTCAGTCAACACGTTTCCGCTCTAATGCCGTGCACTTCCAGAAATTGTCTTTGATTGGTTTTCGATATACTCACTATAAAAATGGGTAATATCATAAAAGAAACATATATTTAAAATAAATGTTAATATTTAGTGATAAATAAATAAATAACTAAATATATTATAATTTTGCAAATTTCGTTTTATTTAAGATTTTTTGAACATTTTTATTTCGAAAAAACTTTATCCTGACAGCTAAAATTAACTGAAAATGTCTACCTTTATTTTCTCGCATCATTTTTAAAATATCTATGTAGTTAGAACTTTTTTGCCCCAGTGAAACCACTCCGGCCAAAGGAGGAAATGGAAAAAGTGCACAACTTGAGCACAATATAAATTTCATTGGGCGCCAAGGCCAAATCGAACTGGTCAGCTCAACGTCTGCTTCCATTATTTATTTGCAGCAAATTAAGCCCGACCCTCCGAATAAAAAAGGGGCGAGCAAACAGCGGAGGGAAAAGGCGAACTAGCAGGGCAAGTCAAGTCAAGTGTCAGCATAAATGAAACTTCCCACCACAAACTTCCGGAGAGACGAGGAGAAGGCTGTTCGCTGGATCCATCCCTCTGTTAACAATGCATGTGCATAACAAAGAGCAACTGTCGGTCTGAACTTTTCACGGTTTCACTTTCGCGTCGACTTTCCATTTCCCATTAACCCTTTCCCTTGGAACCTGGACCTCGGACATCGACACACTTGGCTGGTGCCATTAAGGTGCAACAAAATGTGCATACGGGAAGTGCTTCCAGCAGGTTACCCTGCATCCGAGCCCTTGTATTTCGCACAATTCAATTGCAGAGTCATTTCCGGTTTCGACTAACACCCCTGAAAAGCCATTCAGGCCCAATTCGATTGGGGTTGCTCCCTGGGAAATGGTTTCCGTGGGGGTTCATAACGCGATCAAGTTAAAGGTATTTCCACACTTGGTAAAATGGTAATTGGTAAAATAACTACCAAATAGTGCACTTTTGTGGTAAAATGTCATGCTTTTTGAATATTTAATATTCAATTTAAAATTATTTTCAAATGTTTGGACTTAAGCATACCTTTTACGGAACCAAATCTGCAAAGAAATATGTATGGACTACAAAAAAGATATGGGCTATGGTTTGTTAGTTTATAAAGTTTCAATTGCATTTGGAATTTTTTCATTGAGGCCTTCCTAATAGGTAGCAGTTTTTCCTGTTAATCACTGCATTTACTAACCTTCCTCTTTGCCACCATTTTGTGGTCGCACACAAATGAGCTGCATCATTTCCGCTTTCCCCCTCTGCTTTGTAGGTGTGCAAAATGTTAAAACATTCAGAACTGCAGATAACAAAGTGAAGTCAGGGGTAAAAAAAAAAACATTTTGCCAAGTTCTAGTGAAGCGTTACATTTGTGGGGTTCCGTTCGCTTGAGTTTCAGTCGCCGGCTTTTTGCCTTTTCCCGCTGCCTTTGTGCTAACTTTTTTAATGAACTTGTTGATGTTGCGTGAGTACGTTGCTGTTTTTGCTGATTTTATTGTACTTGATGTACCATTTTTCTCTCTTTTTTTTTGCTGCTGCCGGTTGTCTGTCAAATGATTTGCTCAAGTGCGGCGGGATGTGCAGTGCGTGTAATTGACTTGTGAACTCGAACATTTGTCACTTAATTAGCGGCCAGCAATTGCAATACTTAATTCATGTGTTACTGCAAAATCAAGTCAAGGGCGATTTCAATAGATTTCAAAGAATTTATGGTGATGTAATTTTTTTTTTCGAACCATGTTATTTTTTATTTTTAAATATTAATATTTATACAGGGCTAACTTAAGAATAAAATTTCTTAGCTAAGAGCCTTCAGCTCTTGAAAGACTAAAGTGATTTTATAATTCAGATACATCTTAAAAACTTAGTATTAAACATTTTTGTTTGAGTAATAGAACTATTATTTATATATATATATTATTTATTATTTATATTAATATTTATATATATATTTTTCCATAATTCTTAAATAATAAGTGGAGCATTAGTTATGGTATCTCCTTATTAAATGAAACATTTTGAAAGTGCTTCACACCTCTTAAAGCTCCAAAACGCCATAGCATTTATCCAGCCACTAACTCAGGCCTTGGCACACCCCTGCTAAGTTGTAAAATATGCAACACCCTTTTGGCTACACATTTTTGGCAGCACATGAAGCCACCCTCCCCCTCGACGGCCAACGACTGCATTATGAATAATTAATTACAATTTAATTAAAACTGTCTAACTTGGCAGAGGACTCCCCTCCGTCGTAAAAACTAATGCGGCCTGCGGGCTGCCAAGTCGGGCCAATAAATCAAGAGCGCGTTAACGAAACTGATATGCCATCTCCGCTAAAAATATCAAGTGGGTCGGCATGAAAGTCCCCCGGTGAGGGTGTAAGCCAAAACTTGAAGCCAGCCAGGCGTTAAAAGCGCAAGCGAGAGGCAAACTGGAAATGTAACAATTAATGTCATCAGCTTGCAATATCAACAACGGCAACAGCAGTCAAATAAACAATGGCCACGAGTGGTTAACAATGCCAAACAACGTGGCCAACTACAAAATGGTCCAGTGGTCACCCGGCAACTCTATAGATAAAGGGATATAGGGGGATCTGCGGCATGTGTGTTGTTTGCATGTTGTTTGACCAGGGTGGCAATGCAAGCTGCATAACTTGTTGACTTGCTCTGACTAATTGTCAAACGAGAGCGAGGATCAGAGGCAAATAAAATCAGACAAAGTAAACCAGAAAAGTCAATTAATCCGGTCAGGGCTAGAATTTCTTGAGGAAGTATTTTATGCTTGGGAAGAAACAATATAGCTACACACAAAAAAATCCATTGTAGTCAAATCTATATGCGCATGGTAAATTTCTGGTATTACATACCAATTTCGTTTTTACCGAAATCTCTATATCCGGAGATTCTCTGACTTCGAAAAAAGGGAAGAAGAAGCAATGTGGCAACTTAAAGACACTTTCGAAATTCGAACTGGCCTGCTGCTTACATTTTGAGCATATTGATTTGAGATGCCGCATATCAAGTCAATATCGATACCACAAAACATCAAATCGATCATCTTTTCATATTAAAATAAAATATTTATTTTAGTTCCTAACACACTTATAGTAAAAACAATAATTGAGTGTCATAATATACCGGCTTCATGTAAAACTGTCCCTTTAAAAATTCTTTTCATTCCACAATCCGGCCTTTATTCACAGCATTCCCACACATAACTAACTGACTCATCTTATTGTTTCTCAAGCATTCCCGAGGAGACCCAAAATACCCGAGTTAAATGACCGAAAATGGTGACACATTTTCTACTCATTTTCCCGAGCAACTAGCATAAAAACGAGGCTAACTCGGCTAGCTCTTGGCACTAATTAAGTCAAAACCTTAGCATTTACCTTGGGGGCAGGTGCTTGTGAAGCCAGAGAGAGGATGTGGGTGGGTGGCAAAAGGATTCATCTTGGGGGCTCCGAGAAGGCTGTGTATTAATAGGAAACCCTTGTTGGGAAGGCTTCGAGGCACATAAAAATGTCATATGTCAACTACAGGTTGCCTTGTCAGCACTCATTAAGCTCTTAACCTCATTCGAGCGCACACCCACACACACATACAACCGCACAGACACACACACGGGCACTCAACATCCTGGACAAATGCAAGTGAGCGGTCGGTAGAAAGCAAAACTGGCAGGACAACGGAGTTGGCAGGTCTCTTGTCTCGCTTAAAAGGCGAGTTCATTGCCCGGGAATCCAACTTAAAGCCCTCGTTTTTCTGGAAAATGATGAATGTGCAGCACTCGCGTAATTCGCCTTCCTCTCCGGCTGTATTTCAATTAATTTAACTCGCCCTGTTTTGGGTCCTTTTCGCCTTTCCTTGGCCCGAATGAATGAAATCAAATTAATTACGGAGACGAAGAGCTGATAGCAAGGACGCAGAAAGGATCCTCCGCTTCCTTATGCACATGCATGAGAATTTCTTTTCATAATTTATGCTCCTTCTTCCGCCCCGGCTCTTTGTGCCGCTCCGTCGTCTTCTCCTTTTCGCCTTTTGCCATTCATTTCAAGGCATTTCCCAGGCCAATCTTATCTGGCCTCTTTATCATTATCAACTTCATCAGTTAGTTAGGCAGAGCTGGGGTATATTTGTTGGGGTTAAATATTTTGTTTCTAATTTAAGAAGATTTTTTCCAGAATTTTTTTTTTCATTTCTTGTTTTTAGTTAAATATAAATTTCCCGCCTTATAGCAACAAAAACACGATAATTCCTTGTCGACCAAAGCACTATTTATTCCATTTTAGTTCTCATATTTCCCTGCCCAGTTTTGTGCATATGTCTCCACCACATTTTATGGCAATGTGTGTGTGTTCATAATTTGATTTCTCCTCTGTTTGATTAAGGATGTCGAACACAACGCCAGGATCTACCCACACACTCTGGGAAAATACGTTGCCAGTCGTAGTTTTAGCTTGCAGTCATTTTGCGCTTTGATATTGGATTTCAGTTCGCATTTCCTTCATTCCTCCACATATCGAATTTTCCGCCTTTGAGCCATGGTCAGCATATTGTTAAACAAGCTTCTATTGGCCCATCGACTTCCTTGCCTCGGGGCCGTTGGCATTTGTGGGCCAAAATATTTGGCAGCTTTCATTGAAAACATTTTCCCCAAATGAAGAACAGTTGCAATACAGTTTCTATAAAATAGCCAAAATAAAATTATGAAAAGAGAATTACTTCCCTTCCCCCAGATTGATGGCATGATAAATGGCGCAGAATGAGTGCAACTGTCAAAGCATTGAAATCTGTCACGAATGTCAAAACAAGTTGGGGAAAATCAAATATTTGCAAGCAAAACTTACCCTCTTCTGTGTGGGTTTATTGAACTTTCAACTTGGTCGGTCGTCTGTCTGCAATGAAGAGCAATATATATGTATATAGATGATGATTAAAATGCATTAATCAAGTCGAATTAGGCGTATTAAATGTTGACAAAATCTTAATCAGGGACAAGTTATCTCTCTACTTAATTAAGCAAGTAGCAATTCAATTAGTTGGGCAGACAAAGTTAAAGCCAAAGTCACGTGGGAAAAGGATCTGCGTGTAACCTGTACACAGGTGTGCTAATAAAGACACACATACACTCGGGGAATCTGAGGTGGGGTCACGGTGAGCCGCAAAATCAGAAATGTTAATTAAAATCACTGAGCGTTGAGCCTAGGCGACAGGCATGCTAAGCAGGCCCAAAGTCTGTGGGGAATTCGGTTACTCTGGGGAAAAGGGAGCAGAAAAGCCGGAAAACCCCTGACCACAAAGGAGGAGGCAAGACAAATGCTGCAGATAGCAATCTGCCCGGGTTTATTAAATGTGGTGTAAAGATGCCAAATGCAAACAAATTAATTTGGTAGCAGGTACGGATTTCAAATGGGCGAGAAAGTCAGAGTTACGTCGACATTATATTTAGCTCATTGATGTAGTCCCTTTTCTTATTTTTATACCCGTTACTCGTAGAGTAAAAGGGTCATTAAACGCAATCAAAAAAATGTTATATATCCATCTCCCTCGCACTCCCTTTAGCCGAGTGACGGGTATTAGATAGTCGGGACACGAACCCGACTATATCGTTCTCCCTTGTTTAAATTAAAGCTGGCTCTGCTTAATATCTTATATTTTCTTGACGGACTTGCTTAAATGTTTTCATAACATTTAATTTGTGTACTTAATGTTAATTTCTTTTTTAAGGATATACTTTGACAATTACTTAAATTCCATTTTTATTTAAATTTTTTACTTTTAAATATATATTTTTTTTATAGAACGCTAAAAACATTTTTCATCTTTGTTCCCGACTTCAAAGCTGCGCATTCTGAGCCCGCTTGCCAAATACAGGACAAAAAGGCATAGTGCCACAACAAAGCAGAATTGCATTTAAAATTCGTAATGGACGTACCGGAAATACAGAATTCCGATCAGGAAGCACGGGGGTCAGGAAATGAAGTAAAAAAGTGCCGCAAAAAGTACGCAAAGCCAAAGCGAAAGCGCACAGCTCGCACAAAAAAAGGGAAAACGAAGGTTACAAAATAAACAAAAGAGCTGAAATAATATTTATATAAAAAAAGTGCAATGCAAAAGAGGGGGCGACCTTCTCTTTGATCATAAATTGAATGTAATAAATTTAAGATAAATAAATTAAAGCGAGGGCAAACGAGGAAGTTGACGAAGTATTAAAGAGCCGGCTAATTCCATTTGATTTTCCAGCGAGCTGGCTAAGCCGATGGCTTTTAATTTCGTCTCGGTGAAAGTGCTAGATGATTCGAGTTCCGGTCTCGGCAACACGACTCACGACTCCCGACAACAAGTTGCATTAAAACGGATGCTAACTTTCATTAAAAGCCACTTAACCCGTGCCAGGACAACGGAGACCGGAGACCGCCCCCCACTTGACCGAGCAGCCACTTGACCCACATGACCCACTGTGGCAGCAGGGGCAACAACAAAAGCCGGCAATGGCACGTGGATACCCAGAAGCTGAAGCCTGCCCCCTGTGTCCAGGATCCCTATCCTTGTTAGTTGGCTTAGAGGACTTAGAAGTGGGGGCGTGTCTGGCCTGAAGGGGGCGTGGCAGTGCTGCACATCGTTAGTCATATTTTTTTCACGAAGCTGTGCAAACTTTTTGGCAAACACGAAGACCGAAAAGAGATATTTTTAATTAAATTAAATAACAGTGCGTACAGGGAGAGCGAATAAGGGGCGACTTGTGGTTTTAGGGGCGAAATGCAAAAGTCAAAAACTACTGCATACTTATGTGGGCAAAAGTTTCAGTCGGATTAGAGATTTTATTTAAAATCTTAAAAGCAAAACGCCCAAAGGGACTTTTGCCCACAGAAAGTTCGTGCAAATATGGTACCACTACAGGGATTATTTCAGCAAATTGAAAGCTTCTTTTTATTAGAAAAATATTCTTGCATTCCAAATACTTTTGTGACCGATTGTCAAGCAGTTAAAAAGTTTGTGCAGCCAAAGTTTCACTCTCGGGCGATCAAGAATATTCTTCATAGCCACAATGTCATGTGAAGAACTCACATATGTTGCCAAAATTGCGATTTTCGAAGTCAACGTTCGCTTATTTCTATTTCATTAGCTGCTATTTTCCTTTAATTTTCGCCGCCAAACAAACAAACAATGAAAACCAGCAAAAAGTTGAAAAATGGCGGCGCGGGAAAGACTGAAGAAAAAAACACGGGGCCAGAGGAAGGGGTGAATGGGGGCACTGCAGACAAAACTGCAAAACTTCGGCAATTCTTTCTCGGTTATTTTTGGCCCAACTGTTTTCTTTTAATGCCGAAGCGTGAAAACAAAACTTTTTCTGCCTCTCACTCGGCACTTTCAATCGGCGACACTAATGGTCTGAAATTTAAATGGATTTTCAAGCTTGTGCAAATACGTGGCTGACTTGAAAAAACAAACAAAATCGAATGAGTTTACCAAGAACATCATATGCATTATTAGCCATAATAAGCAATCCATTTGAAATGTAGGTTATGGTGCACACAAAAAAATTTGCTTGGTAAAATTGACCAACAAAGATAGTTGCGTAACTATTAAAATAGTTACGTGTATTTTGTTTTTGCTTTGGGTTTGTGTTCTTGCTAATTGTATGTATTTGTTGTTGTGAAAGTGACTATTTACTTAGTAGAATTGACAATTTTGCTGGTTGGGGCCTGTTTGACAATTATTACAGTTGATTTTACCAAGTTTTTTTTTGTGTGTGTCAGATATTAGAAATAAATAAATTTAGGGATTAATTAGTATTGTTCTCAAAATTAAAAGCAAAAGCTAAAAAGTGTTTAATATTTATAATAACAGTTTAATATTATTTCGGTTTAATAGAATTTTTATTAAAGAAAACTATTAAAAAATGATCTTATTTCGATAACGGTTCAGATGGTATATGTACCATTTTTGACTTAAAGTTTCAAAGTTTCTGTAGATAGCAAAATCAAAGAGAAATTGAATTTTACAACATTTTTGAAAGTAAAATCTAATTTAAGTTACAAAATAAAGTATTAGATATTTTCAATCATGTGTATTGTGAACTGTACAATTAAAATAATGATATTCTTAATTAAATAGCCATTTTCATTGATTTCTGGTGTTTCTGGTATTTTGGACCAACAATTAAATGTGCAATTTCATACCTGACGTAAAACTAAAACTGTTAAAACTATTGGACCGCCAAGCAAATATGCAAATCAAATGCTAATCAACGACTTGCAATGAAATTCGATTTTGATATATGCTATCTATTACAAATGACTCCCACAACCAATTTGCTCGCTTGTTTGTTTGTTTGTGTGACCCCGATGGAAGTTTGCCCAAATTCAGCGCTCAATTTCCGCAAACAAACAATCGAACGAAAGCCAACGCCATAGTAAATGAATAACACAGTTCACTGTTGACCAGAAATTGTGTGCATTTTGCACATCGATGTTATCTGGTCTTGTCCAATGCAGTCTGACTTGGCCCGCGGCTGGGGTAATTAAAATTAGTAATTAAAAAGGTCCGACAGCTACGCGGCGATGGGGAATAGTTAGCCGTCGGTACCTTCACAACCCTGGGCAATCTATCAAATTCGCCTGCCAGTGCAGTAAATTCAATTTTCCACAGCACAAAGTTCGAAAGTGTTAATATTTAGCGAGGCCCCTGCGATCGATGCGTTTTATGGATTACTCGGCAGCTAGACAGCTGAAGCCTTAAACAGAAATTGATTGCATATTTCAACGCTTGCGAAAATTCAGGAACGGCTCTCGGCCACAATCCGTTTTCCATAAATTTAATTCAATATTTTTGTCATTCTATGCAGATTTTTGCCAGCATTTCTGCTTGCCAACAAAAGCATTCGAAGGGAAAGTATCAACGAGAACGAGCCAAAAAGTGTTCGGATATTTGGGTCACAAATGTATTAGAAAGTGCTAACTAACTGAAATGAATGCCTTCGGTCCGATTTGCTTCATATAAATATTGTGCCAAAGTTTCTCTGTCGATAACGGTAAACAAACTTTTGTGGTCAACGGGTCGGCTAATCGATATTACATGGAGCTCGAAGGAGCTCCGACATGTGGTCCCCACATCAAATATATCGCAATCTTTGATTTTTCGGTCTCCGCAGTGCCAACGATTTTCGCCATTAATTGAATTCGGTTCCTGGCAAATTCTGTTTTCTCTCTTTTTTGGGTTCCTTGGAAATTTAGCACTAGTGGTGAGTGCGGTGAGCAAAGGCAGTGGCAAACAACGCGGCCAAATATGTATAAAAAATTAAATTTCTGAAGCGATGCCAAGGACTCAAGGACGAAGATGTCGCAAAATGATTTAGGTTTCGCAAATATTTGGCACACCAGTAATTAAAAAATTAAGATGACATTTATTTTAGTCAGTGCAGTGCCCCATTAAAAGATAAATCAAGAACTTAAATTAATGAATAGTGAGAAAATGGGAAATTTAATAGTGTAAAATTCGAAACTAATAATTTTACTTGAACCAAACTTTAAGGGAGTAAGTCCATTCTTTCTAATATGTTATTCTTACTTTTCCCAACTAAAATTTCCTTAAATTTGGTGATACCTTCTTATTTTAAATTCGTAGACTGGTCTAGACTGCTGCAGTGACTAATTCGCATTACCTTTAGTATGCCTCGGCTACAAATTCCTGGTCGAAATGTTCCGGTTTTGGAGCTCCGCACTCGAGCACTTTGTCGGCTGCCTCATAAATCTTGAGTGAAAATTTTCGTTTGGCCCATAAAAAATTAACAATGCGTAAAGGGGCAGGCAGAAGTTACGAGGCAGACTGCTGTGAGGTTTTAGCGTAAGCCAGGATTTCTGCGAGGGCTTGCCAAGTATGTCCCTGCTGCACT